TCATGATGTAGCTCTCTTATTTTAACTAATAAGCAGACCCTGGCTTATGAAACAGAAAAGTGCATCAGAATTTGAGACAGTCATTTTGGTCTTTCTCATGCTGTTATTTTTGCATTAACTCTTAAAATAATTTAAAGTAATTTTTATTCTTTGAGTACTGACAAGCTAACAATATACTTCAAAACAATATATTTGAAACGAGAGTTTGATGTAATAAAATTTGTGAAGGAAATCTAAACTCTGCCATACTTTGCCTGCCATATAATTCACTTAGGAGAGGAATCATTAGAAATAATGCTGAGGGAAAGTCGATGCATCTTCAAACAGGTGGATTTTTCGCCCTCACAAAAACAAAGTGGGGGGAGATGCTGGGAATACAATGTCAAAATCACCCCATCATCACTATTTACAGTGGATGTAGCTTCATTTTCTTAGCATTTATTCTCATGGGGAAATTAAATTTGAATTTACAAGCTTTGGGCTATGGGAGGAATTCATTATTGCATTCCTTGCTCAGAATAAAATTGTATCTTACAAATATAGGGAAAATTCTGGTAGGTCATGTGCCAAAATTTTGGGTGGTGGTAGTCTAGGTGATTATGTTTCTTTGTATTGACCAAGCTAACCGTTTTGAAAATACATTACTTGTATGATGAGGGAAAACAAAAAACTTAGGTTTTAAAAAGCAGATTATGCATAAGGGTGTTCCATCTGGTGTGGACTCAAGAGAAAGGAAGATGATTCTAATACTGATGAAGAATTACACTGTTCCAGGCCTAGGGCTCAATATTCTACATACATTATGCCATTAAATCTTCAGCACTCTCTCAGAGATCAGCATTATTATCCTTATTGCTCAGCTAATGAAAGAGAGGCTTAAAGGGTTAAAATTGCCTATCTCTGTCAACAGCTAGTAAGGGGCAGAGGCAGGATTTGTATCTGTGCTTATCGTTAAAGCTGGAATGGGTAGTGAAAATAAGCATGTAGTTCTGGTACACTTCATTGTTGTTGTTAGCTACCATGGAGTTGACTCCAACTCATGGTGATCTTGTATACAACAAAACAAAACATTGTCTTGTCCTGTGTCATCTTCACAATCACTAGTATGGTTGAATGCATCATAGCAGCTATTGTGCCAATTCATCTCTCTCAGGGTTTCTCTTACCCTCATTGGCCGTGTACTTTACTCAAAATGATGTCTTCCTCCAGGGATTGAGCCATCCTGATAATGTGCCCAAAGCACCCAAGTCAGTGTTCTGTTGTGATCCCTAGAGTTTTCACTAGCTAATTTTCTGAAATACATTGCCAGGGCTTTCTTCCTAGTCTGTCTTGGTCTGGACTAAAGTGACCATGCTGGTATTTGAAATATCAGTGGTATAGTTTCCAGTATCATAACAATATGAAAGCCACCACAGTATGACAAACTGACAGACAGTTGGTAGAGCACATTTTATACATGAGGAAAATGAAGATATTGCATTGTTCTCAAGTGAATAGCTGGTAAATAGTAGAAGTATGTTGCTGCAGTCTATAAAAGTGGTGTATTAAAGTCTCCCACTATGACTGGGGAGTCATCTATTTGGCTTTTCAACTCTTTTAAAAAAGTCTGATTTATGTATTTTTGGGCTCTTTCATTGGATCCATAGATATTTATTATGCTTGTATCTTCATGTTCAATTGATCCTTTAATCATTATATAATGTCCTTCCTTGTCTCATATGGTGGTTTTTGTCTTAAAATCAATTTGATCAGAAATTAATATTGCCACTCCTGCTCTCTCACAATTGCCATTTGCTTGATATATCTTTCTCCAACCTTTGA